TGCAGACATTACTCCTTAAGACTTTTCCTCAAAGTGTTTGGATCTATAAAAAAAAATCCAGATGTATTAGATAGGACCCGCCACCTCACTCCCTCTCTTCCAGCACCTGCCACCAAAGGCAGCAGCCCCAGATGTCTCAGCACTGCATCCATCTCAGCGGGGACAGAAAGTGGGACAAAAGGGTGGGAAGGAAGATTTAGTGCAACCCATATATAATAAAGACAGAGATCTCCAAACACACCAGCACAGCAAACACCAACTGATAAAGAAGTATCTCATAAACTTGATGTATTTATAGCACACTGTGGCTACAATTGAAGAGAAGAACATTTTAACTGAGAACAAGAATATTGGAATTACTGAATGCATTTTTTTTGGTTGCTTAAATATTAAATAGATTTGGTTTGCTTCACTATCATATTATTTAAGGTAAGAATAATTTCTAATTCCCAAAGATTCAAGTATTTATGAAAAGGAATATGAATCTGATCTATTTGAAATGAAACTCTAAAGTCCAACAAATATGAACTCTCTTTCAAAGACATTTCAATCTAAATAACTTTTATGACTTTTTTTTTTTTTTTATGCTAGAGTTGATCAATAAATGAATGGTTTTGGGTTTTTGTTTGTGTTATCCTAGAAATGCTGTGTCAGAGACAGCTTGCCTTTGTATGTTTGATGACAAGAAAACTAATGTCCTATTGCACAATTACTTTCTTTCCTATACAGGTTTCATTATTCTCTTTTTCTAACATCTGGCTCCTCCCATGGGCTCTCCTGGACTGTTTTTCCCAGAGCTCATCCCAGCCTAGTGTCTCACTGGGAGCCCAGCCCCAGGACCCAGCTGGCTCCTCAGCCCTGCATCAGCTACCATCACCATCTCTTTTTCCCTTTTTTAATTACCTGTTTAAAACCAGATTGTTCAGATGCATCAGACTTGCACTGAGTCAGTGCAGTATTTTTGAAAAGTCACTGTTACTCTCAGAGATGGTATCACATTAGGTTAAAGACACTAATTTAAAAAATACAAAGCAGGTGCAGCAGAATGAGCTGTAATCAGAAATAAGCCACACAGAGACAGCATTAAGATGTTCTTCCAGATACTCCCCACCTAATATAAAATTTCACATGTGGAAAGTCTTTGAACACCTTTGCTCTGAATATTTCCTGAGTCCTTTTAGCTTCCATGATGCAAGTCTTGCTGTTCTCTTTCTTCTGGGAATACCTAACCCTTGGGCAGAGGCTCAGAACTTTGGCGCTTCCCATCAAACCCATGCCACCAGTCCTCCTGATCAGAAAGCAGTAATGCTTTCCAAGGAGTGGACACCAAAGCATTTCTTGTTAAAAAAGCTGAAATTGAAGTGCAACCTCAGCTTTCAGCTTACCTTCTTCACTACTGTGATGCCTGGCTTGATGCATGAGCCCCAGCCTGATCTGACAGCTCACCCAGAGACCTCCAAAAATGGATTTCTCATTCCTCATGTCCTGGACTTCACTCTCTGCCAGTACTCTCCCTCTGAGTGGGTGCAGTGGCTGCCAGGGAGGCACAGGGGACAGGACTCAAGACATCCATAAGAATCTAGTTCTCAAGTGACCACCATCTCCACTGGCTCTCCAACTGCGTAATCCAGGTCCTGTACCACACAGTACCTCACCATCCCCTGCCACACAGCTGGAAAGGGGCTGGACACAAGCCAGCTCTGTGTCAAGGCTGCTAAGGAGGCAACTGTTGTCCTCATACTCCCTAAGAAAAAAAACTCACTCCTCTGCTAGGCCATTGTGAGTTCTTGCTTGTTGATTTTTTGTGGCACTGATGCTCTGTGCATAACTGTATCTTACAAAAACCCCAACAACAGCCTTTGGGAGTGATGCTGCTGAGGCATCACCTAATGTTGCCATGGTCCTCTGGCTCACTGCTTGGTGTAGTCTCCTGGAAGAAAGCCCCAGCAAGGGGTGGCAGCTCTTGCCACCTTCCTGTCACAGATCAGGTACACACTGAAGTGGATGACACAAAAGACGAGAAACCTCACGGCAGCCTTTGACGTCAGCCTGACCTAGGAATGAAATGCTTGTGTTAACTTGAAAACACACAGCGTCCACCCCGAGCTTTCCTGCTCCATCACAGAAACTAGGGCTGGGAAAGGACTCCCAGAGCACATGCAGGCAGGTCCTGACTGCTTTGTGAATGACTCATAAAGAATACTGTAAACTGAAAGTAAATGCAACGTTTTATTTGAGGTTGGAATAAATTACAACTGTAAAGCATATTTTATTGCTTTATAAATTGTCTGCTCTTAAAAGGCATTAATATCAAACATAAACAAAACAAAGACACATTTGATTAACAGTTCAGTTCTCCTAAGCTTCATGGACAGCTCAGTAGGGGGATTTCTTTATATGATTGGCTCAGAAATTTGACTTTGACATGCATTATCACCATTCATAAGTTTGAGTGGACTGCAGATGTGTTCATTTGCTTTAAGATTTTTCTCTAAAATATCCCATTTAATACCCAGTCCTTAATTCCCTATTCAAATACAAATCCCACTGCTTTTGAAAAATTCCTTTGAAACATATGTGGGGTTTTCTGTCCCTGCAGAAGGAGGATTTCCAAGTCCAAACCAGGAATGAGTCTGACCCCAAAACTAAGTGAAAAAGAAACTCCTTCCAGGTTAAAATAGTGAAATCCCATGCACAAAAAATGTGTCCTTTCATTCTGAAGATCCTTGCAAAACCACTTTGCATTGTCTGAACACAGTAACGTGGAGAATTCGTATTTTGTTGTACAGACTCTACCTGCCTGAGGCAGGTATGAATTTTGCTCATCATCTCTACTTCTCTAGGTGCCAACAGACCCAGGAAATCCAGTCTGCCCTGAGCCTGGGGGGTGAGAGGGTGCTCACAGGGCTGGGTGTGCTCAGCACTGGGCAGTACCCAGCCCTGAATGTACAGACACCGTGATGGGGTCTGGCTAGCTCCAGATTGGTATGACAGGCAGAAAGGAGGCCAAAAAGCCACTTCCTCAGCTTCCTGGGGAGCCACAGCTACTGAACACCAAAAAGGGAATGAACATTCATAAGCAGCTCTCATTGCACCACAAAAAAATCATCCACCAAGGCATCCTGTCCCACTTTGACTCTTGCACTGCCAGGGCCATGTGGTCCCCATGCCCTGGCTCCAGAACAGTGTCTCCCTGAGCTATTCCTGAGCAGGGAACATGCACCTCTGCTAGGCTGGGCCTGAAGCAGCACAAAATGAGCTGGACTATGCCCTGTAAAACTCTCCAGGAACAGAAATGGAGACTCCAGTCTCAATTAGCCCTTGGAACAACATGGGTTTGCAGAAAATACCTCCAGGCAGCTTCTCTTCCTGACACAAAACTAACTTGAAAAATAATGAGCCACCAGTACAGAAATTCCTTCTAAATCCAGCTCAGTATCACTCAGAAAGTTCCTGTTTAGAGAAGAGTTTCTTCTCCTATCAGCCTGTAATGTTTTTGCCATGCCTACAGGAACATAAATAGCTGAGTGAGATGCTGGAGTATTTTAGACTATACAGCTGAATGGGAGTGGTTTTTTATTACTGGATCCAAGAAATATATGTCAAACTTCAAAGAAAATACTATTAGATTGATCCTGGTGTGATGTCAGTTTTCATCAAAATCTTATCAGTAACATATATAAATTTAGTATGTTTTATGCATATTCTCATTTTTAAAAAAAACAGCAAACCAACTTTCTTCTACTAAATATGGTTTCCTCAGAAGAGATTTGTTTTGTGCCATGAGGGACAGCCAGCTTTGATCTCTGTAAGGCTTACAGCAGATTTCAGGTGCTGCACTTGCCCACAATGGCTCCCAGCAAGTCAAAGGACAGGACCAGAGCTTTGGTGGGATATCTGGAGCTGTGCCAAACTGGGCCAATTCTTCAGCACTTTTCAGTATCCCACTCATTCAAGGAGTGGATAACCCTGGTTTAGTTCCTGTAACTTTAACATTTAGCACATGTTAAAGTGCTAAATGAAGAGGTGGGGAACAGCAATGTCCCTTCCTCCACCTCAGGTCCTGGCTTGGGAAAGGCTTGTGGAAAGGTGGTTTTGTGGCTGCCTTGTGCTAGCAGGATGCATTGCAGCTGGGAAAAGGGTATGTGCACGGTGTGCCCAGATTCATCTCATCTTAGAGAAACATCAATCAGGACCTGCAAGCTTTTACACTCATCAGTCACCTCAGTTATGCTCACTGAGAACAGATTCTTGGCTGACTTCTTTTTTTCCTTAGCAGTGATGAATTTTGCTTTGAAGATGAGAAAGGGGAAAGCTCACCTTCAGGGAGAGGGACAAGCACAGACATTTGCAAATTAAAATGCATACACGTCAGCCACCCCAGCAGTGACCTCCATCTGCGCTTTACGACACAACGTCTTATTATCTTGAACCTTAATTTTTCAGCCCTTTCAAAGGTTCCCAGGAGCGTTCCTTTCTGTATCAGTGAGATGTCTCCAGAAAAAAACTAATGAAAGGAGTCAACTGTTGTCACCAGGGTAAGTTACTGGGTTACATTCAAGCCACAGACTATGGAGGGAGCAGACTTGCTCGATTTTCTGGTGCAAATGCCATACCAAGCAGCTAGTGCACTGGACTGGGATTTGGCAGATGGAGTTAATTCACATTCCTCTTGTTCTTGAAGCAATCAGAAAAAAGAAACAGTTTATATTAACTTCAGGGTGCTCAAACATTTCCAGCTCAGCAAATGCCCCTAAAATATTTCTCCTCTCCAAACAGTTCCTAGCAGTTTATGCACTTCTTCTCTCAGACTAAGAACAACATACAGAAATCTTCTAAGGAATCACACTTCTGGGGAAAAAAAAGAACCAACAAACTTCAGGATTGCTACATCTGGGCTAAGGCTCATTTACCCATCTGCAAAGCCTCTTACCCCTCCTGATTTTCACTCCTGAGCTGCCCATTTGCCATGCACTTGCAGTCAGAGAGAACAGGAGCTCTTAAATACATTCACATCTTTATTTCTAATTCTCCAGCTTTTGTATTCAGCAAGGCACTCAGGCCAGCACAGTCTCAGGCAGTTCTGTTAAAGCACCTTCTGACTGATTGGGGACCTGAACTGAAAAGCTGATGGGACGATCAGTGAGTGCATCTGAAAGCAAGGCTGTTTACCAGTGCATTTTTTTCACAGGGAGGGCAATGTTCAGCCACTCCACCAGAATATAGCATGTATATTCATTAGTGGTTACCAAATGCTCTAACTTTTCACAGACCTTTGTAAGTGCTGAACATTTCATTTGGCAGGACAGCCATGCCTGAGAATTCAGCATATTGTTAGAAACTGCCATTTCCTTCTCCTACAGTCCTTCTCATCACAAAGTGTCTCATGGAACAAACAAGTGTCTATATTGTGATTATGCCAATGGAGGAACTGGGACAGATATGGATGCCAGCTGGATTGGACCCATAGAGCACATGAATGATTTCGTCAAGCGAAAACTAAGTCACTTGATGCCAGGCCCAGTGCTCCATCCACACCACCTGAGGTTACCAAGTAAGGGACATAAATTATCCCCCAAAGGAACTGATGTATCATGAAGGGCAAAGAGCCTCTGAAGCTATGTGTAATGGCATGAAGCACAAGTATATTACATGTTTAGCTCTGTCCCTGTTTCTCTGTAATGAGGGCAGTGGGTTGCTCAGACAGTTGTCTTCTGGTCAGCCTATTACGTTATTTCCTATGGAAATGCAGGTAAAGGCATGTATACTATTCAGTAGAACAGAAGTCTTATTTTACATGGGCTGAGAGAATGTTTCTTATACCCAAATGAGATTTTTGCATGCATCTGCATACTCACCCAGATACTGCCCCTGCTGTGCTCCATGCCTGAGTGTCATGCCCGGTTGCTCTGCGTAGCAGGCATGTCATACGCACACAGTGACCTGGTACATTCTGCAGGCCGAGTCTCAGGCAAAAATTCACCCAAAAAAACCTAAGTTTGTTGGTAGTTTCTTGCAGTGAATTGGGCTTTCAGTAGGAATTAACAGGAACATAAGCTGTAATGACTAATCTTATAGTCTGTGCACTTGCTTATTTTCTTTTCACAGTTCAACCACTTTCCTCCTTAATACTAAAACACTAAAGTCTTACATAGCATTCAGAGCATTATTTTCTGCTGGCTGTGTTATGCTCTAAGCCTCTGTCACAATGCATGCAAAGGATAATGGCTGAATTTGTAACGCTTTTAACTAAAAAAATACTTTTAAAAACATAAACCATAAATTATTTATTCCTCTTTGTCCATTGTTTTAAGCACTGAATCTTCTCCCAGGATTTTACACAGTTCATTCAGTCTCTGCTGCATTTTAGGAATTCCTGCAAGCTGGGATTCCAGTCTCTGTTTTTCCTCACTCAATGATAAACGGATAGCGGTGTCCAACTGCTCGAAACGCCAGCCACCTTGTCCGTCAAACTGCAGCAAGTGAGTGTGGTACTTCCTGCAGTAGAAATTAAAACATTAGTAATGGCTCAGGGAACACATGGTTTGTTATTGCATTCAAATTTGGATGTATGTGTCTCTTTTCAAAGGTGCCTCTCAGGAATTTCAGTTGTCCAGTTCTAGATCACTGGGTAAGACTCTTTTTTTGATTCCTCGTCATTCCAGGACACTCTTTCATATGGGATTTGTTGTTTCAAAGCCTGTCACCAGGACTGCCCCAGCCCAAGAGTGAAATTCGGTGAGTGCCAGCTGGAAGCAACAGTACTGCTGTGGGCTCCCAGCTGGGACAGTCATTGCCCCTGCAGCCCACAAGGCCAGCTCTGAGCCCCTCAGCTGCAGGGATGCTGGCAGGAGTGGGCAGCAGGGCCATGCAAGGTCCACTCATCACTTGCTGTCCCTGGCCAAGGTTGTGGCCCCCTCCTACTGCCTCCTTAGAAACACTGTGGCTACAGTTGCCTTCACTACAACTCCATCAGATGCCTTTTTCCCCAGGAGCTAGAACAGCAGCATCGGACAAGGTTCATTTCTCCCTCAGGAATTCTAGTCCCAGTTTATTTTATTTACCTCACTTTCTGATAGATGTCTTACCTCCTTGGCAGCAAATACAGAGAGGCAGGCATGATGCACCTGATCCTACTGATAAAACTCAAGTTTTGTTCCCCTGTGTCTTATAAGGTTGGCTAAAGGTAACTTTATTCCTAAAACATGATTCAGTTTGCAAGGGGCTGAAATAAAAATGTCTGTGTAGGAGTCACAGATATTTCAGTGAGTATCAGGGTGTGTGCATCAAAAATATTCAAAGGTGTACATGTGGAGTTTGTCAAGACCTGGCAAAACATTTTTCAGGAGGTGCCAGAGGAAGAGCAGAGAGTTCCCTCAGAGCTGCTAGTATGACTTAGTAATTTATCACTATAAATTATAGAAAGTAAAATGTATCATAAAACACTGATTATAAATCCCATCCATGGAATATGTCAGTTTTAATAAACTCAATGGCTTATGACATGGGACTGAAAAGAGACTCATCTCCAGTCTAATATTCACCACTTCACACATATTGTCCTTTGTGATATCAACTGCTTAACCTATCCTTCTACTTTTCCCCCACCAAACTCACAAAAAATCAAGAAGATAAATCCTGCAGACAAAGGACACAACTGTTAAAAAAATAGACATAATATTCCTATGGAGGAATAAAGTATAGTTTAACCACTTGACATGTTTCCCATCTCCTCCCTGCACATTAAACTTCCCCAGGATACCTCACATATTTTTTCACCTTTACAGAAAAACCTGGTGATACCTGTTGTGGCTGTGGCATAGACTAATTATTTACCTCGTAGACATCTACATATTAATAAGTGAAACACATTAAAAAAATAAGAGGGATGAATAAATACCTTTCAAATCATGAAAAAAATTCATGCTAAATTAATTTACATCACTACTGTTGTAGATAACTTATCTTAGAAACTGCAGACTTAACAACTGCCCCAGTACGAAGAATAAAGGCCAGTCCACTTCTTGTCAGAGAGCTAAAAGCAAGGATCATGATAAAGCCCTGAATATACTTACCAAAGAGAAGGTCTGTGTGTTATGGAAAGCAGGGATATCCCAGCAGCTTTTGCAGCTTGGAATATCTTTCCTTCAACATCAATGCTTACAGCACTCGTACATTCATCCAGCAATGCATATTTCGGCCTTTTAAAAGAAGATAAAGAACATTATTCTTCTAGGTTTTAGGCCTAGTATTCCCATGTACAAGGTTTAATAGAAAGAGCAACAGGAAATAGAGACTTACTTTTTGCCAGACAGCTGTCTCTTATTTACAGCTGGAAGCTGGCTAGAAACAATGTGAAGTTCCCATGCATTACTCAGGTGAAAAGGCAACTTCCAGGAAAAATGGGGTTTATTTCCTGGCCAATTTGAGTACACAGTGATCTAAATTCTATGTCCTGTCTGACCTAGTATTATTTTGTACTCTTGTCAAGTTATGCAATAGTTAAAGCCAACTCAAAGCTTCCTATCGACTGCTATATAAGGTCTGGGCTGCCTTTGTGTGCTTGCAGTCTCCCAGATTGAAAGGTAAAGGTTGGCTTTCAAACTCCAAGAGCTTTTTGCAACAGTCCATCACACTTGGCAACATTTGTAGGAAGGAAGATGTTTGTGCCTGAGATGTTAAAGAAAGAAATATCTGAAAAAAATAACGCTATGTTGCCAAATGCAAAGCTGAAGAAGCATTATCCAAACCAAAGGCAGAGCTTGTATGAATGAACAACAAGATTTATGCAGGTCTTAAGCTAGACAGTGTTGCATTGTGCATGCAGATTATAGTCTACTACCACTCTAACAGGAAATCTGCAAAGCTCTTTCTCATTTTCAAATGCTTCTTAAATAACACTTACTTGTGGTAAAACATCCGGGCCATGCCCATCCTTTGTTTTTCTCCTCCTGATAAGACATCTTTCCAATCCATGATGGCATCCCAGCCTTTTAAAAAATAATGCAAACAAAATTAGTCAGGACAGTATAAATTTATGAAGGAAATGCAGCTTTACTTGCAACACTTCTGCAATCTATAACCAAAATCATAAAGAACATTTCAACTGCTCAGGCTACTGAATCACATCTTCTGAAATACCTCAATGCCTACCCACTGGCAATCAATTGGAAAAATGTCCCTTATATCATGACAATTTTGAAAGTGGAATTTAGACTTTTTGGTCATGTGGATATTGTCAAAACACTTTACTTACCATCTCTTTGAAAAAAACTCTTTGACCTGTATATAAGTAGTAATTTTATTGTCATATTTGCTTCATGGAACAATTTTCTATTTCTTCTTAAAAGGTATGAGTGGAAATTTAAAAGCAAAGTAAAATAAATAAAGTGTAAAAAATAAAGAGCAGTGTCAGACTGCACTCACTACTGTAGGCAAAGAAAACTGTCAGCAAACCCAACAGAAACACAACTGCAGACACAGTGATGCATCTGTGTGCACAGACAGGCAGAAAAACTGCAATCAGACAGGAGAATCTTCTAAAAAAATTTCCTTCAGCCTTGTATTTTAAAATAACCCACACCTGTTATAACCTGGGGTATCCTTATTTAATATTCTGCATGTTCTCTAACTGATTTATTTCTTTATCACTTTCAGGTACATGCAACAGGAGCACAAGGCCTTTTATCTGTGATCTTACAGCAGACTGGTGTCCTGTGAGTACTTGGGCATGAATAATTCCTCCTACTGAAAAAAATAAAGTGACAAATTACCTTATTGAAAATAAGTTTTCAGTCAAACAATCCAGATGGGTAGACTAGCAAAATAAATGAGTTTTCAAAAAGAAGAGTGTGGATGTAGAAAAAAATTTGGTAAGACATTTTTCTCAACTGATCATCTATTCATGAGACAAGCAGCTGAAGCAGGGCTGACAGGAAGAGAACATTTTTTCAGATCAGCCATGGAAATACTGTAACTTAGAAGTTAATAACACAGCTAAAATGCCTTTTCTGCCATTGCCAAATTTAAAATAAATATTTGCCAGAAAAGACTATAAATAAGATAAAGCAAGGAGGGTGGGCTGTGTTATTTCTGATAGTTGAGCAAATGTGAGACAATGGGGCTTGTATATGTGCAGGAGGCTTGGTACTGCTCTGCCTCTGCTTGGTGCTATACCAGGGCTTGGCAGGACTGAACAAAACATCAGTGAAACATATGATGAGGGGCTGTGTGACCAAAACCAGTAATTGACAATGACAGAAACTAAATTTCAAGATTTTGCTCTACATAAAATTAGAATATATAATGTACTGATTTTTTAATAAATATTTATAAAGTTAATTTAAAAACCAGGCATATGCAAGGAAGATATCACCTTTAGTGATCCTATAGTTTTTCCCTATTTTCTTTCCACTCTTGTGTAAGGATGCCAGTGGGTACCCTCCCAGGAGCACATACAGTGCTTTCTATCAGCAGGCTCCCAGCAAGAGTGGAGCTGTGTAGTGATTAACTGAGGAACCATTTGGATACTCTCTGGTAAAGGGAACAGATACACACAGGCTGCTATTGCTGAGCAGTCCCAGTGCTGGGACCTCAGAGAGCTGAAGTGCTGTTCCACCAACACCCTGAGCTTCCAAAAAGCACTGTGAAACACCTGGAGCGCTCCCTTTTGGCAAAGGGTTCTAGCAAGGGATGGAAACAGTTCTTCAAGAAACCATAGAAACAGCTATGCTTCTGACAACAATCAAGCTGCTGCTTATGTTCTGTTATTTTTAAGGTGAGAATACAGACGAGCTTCAGGACCTGGATCTGAGCTAGGGTGTGGGTGGGTGTGCATGTGTGCACATGTGCCTGGGGAAGCAGTGCCTGTGTTCACACAGTTTCTTCCTGATCAGCTGGTTTATAAAGGCTTATTAAAAGACAAAAGGGGAATGAAGTTCAAAAAGAAGCATCCTCTTGTCAGCAAAATAATTTTATTATTTTCTCTAAAGGTGTAAGATTTAACCTCTGTTTATCTGGATACAATGATCATCTCTGTGGTTACTTCAATTTATATTCTAACTGAATATGACATGTGCATCTTGTCTCTTCTGCCTGGCAGCCTCTCTGAACTCTCCTATTTTCCACCTGGAATGCCTCAAACAACAGATAAGGAAGTTTGCAATTTTATATTATCCCTTTTAAAAAACTCTTTTCTAGTGTCTAAATATTTTTTTCTCAACACTTAGGCATTTGTAACTCACACTAAACTGACTCCCCCCCTGTCTGTGAACAATAGTGCACCTACTTGTCTCCTGTTTCTTCCTGCTGACATGGCACAGGTCAGTGAAGGTGCTTAAGTGTTCTGGAAGTATCAGCCAAGTGGCTTCGGTCACCCATAACTACATCTACTTCAGAAATGAATTAAATGGCTCGCCCATGAATGCAGCACAAATCTCTCAGTAAGTACAAGCACAATCCTGGCTGTCAGAGTCCAAATTCCTTGCCCACCTTCTTGTTATGGCTTTTGCAGCCAGTAAGACAAAGAGCATCTTTAATGTACTGGGGCACAGTAACAGCAGCAGAAATACATACAGCTGCCAGTAAACACTAGTGATAGCCTCAGGATAGCAGCATTTCATTTTCTTGCATGGCTTCTTTTATAATTCCTTTAATCTCAGTTTTCTGAAGGAAAATGCAAGCTGTATTTGGCAAAACCCAAACGGGTTACTCCTGGGATCCGTACCCCTCTGTATTCTCCATCCTTGTAAATCCTTGCATTTTCATGCAAGACTGAGCGTTCAGCTGCCATGAAAAGCTTCAAAGTTCCTTTTTCAGATCTACATTCCAATGCACCTTATCAGACATGGACTGAAGGACGAAGAAAGGCTGACACAGTCAGAGAGTCGACCCCTGCTGAGTTTTTGGGCATGGAAGCCTCTTTCACAGAATATGTAAAGAGCCCAGTGCTCTCAGGATGAATATGCAAGGACAACCTGGAGCTGAGCAAGGAACAAAGAGACCATCGACTGCATGAGCCTCAGCTCAGCATGACACTGCAGGGATTTGTCTCTGGATTTCAGAGCCACTGGAAAAGCTGGCAGAGCTCTCCAGAGTTCCTGCTGGTACCAGTAACAAAAACAAATCCAGGGCTAAAGCGATCAGATGAAATAATCTCAGAAAGAGGAAATGGGCTTGTCCATCTGTTTATACATGGCCTAGCACAAAGGCTCCCTGGACAACATCCAAAGATATGACAAATGCACAAAATAATGAGGAATAATTATAATCTGGGGTGCTGAAAAATCATAAACAGGTTGAACTTGCTCAGTAATGTCATCAGCCCCAACCGGACAGGCCCAGTCACGCATGCACCGTGCAGCTCCATGGCCTCATGGCTCCTCTGGTGTGACAGGCTGTCAGCAGCCTGGGGCTGCATCTCCACTGACACTTGCTAAATATACACAGGTTTTCAAAGCAGGCCAGAAGGAACTACTTTAGGTATATGTATTGCATATCTCCATGCTTTTAGCCCCCATTTCTGGATATGCTTTTTCACCACACACGCTGAATACAACCTTTATTTTGTATGAAATCATAGTTCTGGAAGAGCTAACAACTTTGCAGATGTTGATGGGGGAACCTTACAGATAATAAAAAGCTAAGTAACAAAACAGCATTTGTCTAATATCCAGGTGGTGAGAAAAACATTAGTGTGGTCCTCAGTGGAAAGGGAGCTCTGCCCCCAGCAGCAAGGGGGCTACTGCCAACAGCCACTGCACTGGGTTCTTCGAGGGCTTGGGCTCAGGAACATCCAGAACAATGGGGCTGGGGAGGGATTGTTGTTTTGGTGGATTTCATGTATTCTATTGATACCAACTGAAAAATGTATCATGAGGGTAACATGGAAGCTAAATGCCAAATTGGGCTATTTATTTTATTTACTTCTAGCTGGGTCAAACCTTAATGCCAGAAAAAGAAGGAATTTCTGTCACTGGCAGCAACAGAAACAACGTCAGACATAATACTTGGAATGCTGTGATCCTTCTACTGCTGCAATGTGGAAGTGATTCAGCTAAAAACAATAACCATGTCATGCCAGAACAAATAATTTGAGTCAAAGTTGCGGACCTCTGGCTTCATCTGGCTTTTTAGAACTGCCCACAAGGAGCAGAACACAAAACTGCAAAGAATCAGATTATACACACATGACATTCGTGATCAATTAAAGCACAAGAGGTTTATATGAGATTTTTCATTATTTTAGAAAGAAAATAGTTCCATTTTTAATAAAGATATTTTTCATTTAAAAATATTATTTTAAGCAAAATAATAAAATAAAAATTGGAATTAAAAAATATTAGTTTATGTATAAACAAAAAATTTCAACTGTTCACTTTCAGCAAGTATTTCTCTGTCTTGCTGGTTCAGAAAACCCCAGAATATGAGTCTTTGTCCCAGACCAGGCCAGCTTTAAAAAACATCCAAGCATATGAAATCCATACAATGTGTCAAATCATTTGTCACAGATTTCCCCTCTGCTCCTACCTTGGAAATTGTCTCTTGCAAATGCCAAAGAAGAAAAGTGAACAAGTATATTATGGTCCTAAAAACTTCCTGGTATGTGGTAATCTCTCTCCCTATTTTCCAGCTTTGCCCACTTCTGTCGCTTTAGATCACAAAGCACCCAAGACATTTTTCCCCAACAATTGTTTATGCAAACTTTTGCACAGTGTGCCCTTATCCTGAGCTTCAATATAGCACCAGTGAACATTAACAGTGTCCTCTAGACTTTGTAATAGATTGTGTGTGTTGTGCATGCGCAGTCAGACAGGCAGAACAGCAAGAGCAGTAACAAATACTTTCTTTGGCACGGAGACCAGCATAAGACTGATCCAAACCTGGGGTTTCAGTGACTGTAGCCAAGGCATCTTGGACATGGGGCACAGTGACTGCCCTGTCACCAGTTACACACTCCAGCTGCAGGGTCAGAAACCACAACCATGTGCACTCAGAGACTGCTGGGGTATAGCTTTGGCCACCAAGGGTCACATGTTGTGCAGTCCAACCACACGTACCAGTGCACAGTGAATGCGCACACTTCACAATTTAACTGCTCCTCCTTTTCCAGCTGTCCGTTCCAACATTCCTGCTTGTTCTTCTGCTATTTGGGCACATTAGTGAAGTAAGTGACTCAGGAATATTAACAGGAATAGTTGTAGTGTCAGTGTAGGAAGGAGAGGCCTTCTCTGCAATTGTTCCAGTCACTGAGTTTAGCTCTGCCTACTTGTGTTATAGGATCAGATTTGAATAATAACATGAATCAGAATGATAGCACATTCTTATTTTCTATTGCAACAGTCATTATTAGATTCTTAACAAAGAAGCATTAACTCATGGTGGAGAAGTATCTTTAGGTATACAATTGCTGTTGCAAATGATTGCTAATTCCCACTCTAAAATGTGCAGAAAAGACTGAAGTATCCACATATACTTTAAACATATACTTTAAAAAAAAAAAAGACAGCCTCTGCCTCTTTAACAGAACAACCAGCTGCCATCCAGGAATGGGAATTTAGACATTGTCTTGGGATTCCCAGTAGCTGAAGCACTACTCTGTGTTGTCAGAACAATCCTGAGGCTCACCAAGCACACACAAGGGAAGGTACCTGATCAAAACCAGCACTGACAGCTGGTACATTTAGCACACCCCTTAAAGGAGCCTGAAGATCCTTTTTCTTCTCTCTAAATGTTACCAACTTTGTTCTATGTCTGTTTTAAAAGCATAATGATGGGGAAGAAATTGAAACTAGAGATTAGTGTCTGATAGGAACAAAAGGGTAAGAATTATTGCTGTGCTTGAAGAAAAAAAGACATGAAATGCTCCAGTTCCTTAGATACAAAAGAAGCCTTTAGCATCTTGACACTTATAGTGACAGTATATATATATCTATATATCTATATATCTATATATATATATATATAGATATATATATACACATATATACATATACACTCTAACTCTGAGAACAAACAATACTGAGAACATACAGCAACTTAAACAGCAAGCAGTAGATGGCAACATTCTACTGTCAGCCAGCATTGCTTGGATGCTTTTAACTTGTTCATTCTGGTGGGGTTGTCTCAGACACCTTCTCATGGCACACAGTCCTGCTGATCCTACAAACTAGGGAGGTGAAAGCAGATCTGCTTGCAAGTTGATATAGTCAGTGACATTACAATATTTTAAGACACGTTACAGTTTTTATGAAAATCAAGGAGGGTAAGTGATCCCACAATACCAGGAAAAGACAGGCCATCACATGATAGTGTGGATGTTCAACTTGGGCATGGATTTACTGCAGAGGGGAGGAGCACTCAGCTCTTCCCCCTCTGCTAGCATCAGGAACAACAACCATGTGTCTGTGCAGCTCCCACAATCATAAAGGTCTGAATCTAGTTTTGCCAGTTCAGTCAGTAAAGGTCAGTCACACTAAGACACACATACAAGTGACAGATTTTGTCAAGTTTTTAATAAAAATATGCACTTTACCTCCTTCTCTTTGAACTATGTGGTACAGATGAACCATATGCAGAATAGACTCTAGATCTTGATCTTGGTAGCCCTTCTCATGCATGTCTTCCACTGAGTCTGGATAGATGACTTGATCTCGTAGTGTTCCAATGGACATGTAGGGCCTGAGGAACAATACAGGGAAACTGGTAATCTGAGGATGGCTTCAAGTAAGAACATCTTGCTGATGCTCTTTGAACACAGTGAAAGGCTTTAAACACTATGTTGTTAAAACTGGATTTATCCAGTGGGTACGTTGGGGGTGAACATTTTTCTAAACTTACCTTAGGGACAATGTATTGTTTCTGTAACAGTTGATTACATGGTAACAAAAAGGGTAGTGTTAGCATGGAAACACAATGACATATTAGGCAGAATAAATATTCACTTCATAGCCCATTTTGAATGCCTTCACTTGGACCTAGCAGAGCTATCCTCTAATCAAAGTTTGGTATTCTTAAGAGATTTAGAAATTGATTTAAGCACACACAGGTTAAAATCAAGTTGTAACAAAAACATTGCAGCTCTAACTGGTAAAGAATTCCACGGTGTAGCAGGAGACACACAAGTCAGACAGGAGAGCACTGAAAACCTTCTTTGCACTGAAAACCTTCTTTCCCTACTTTTCTGGAGTATAGAATTCAGACTCAGTATACCTTAGCTGGCTTCAGAAGCTGAAGCCTCTGAATTGCACTGCCTCTGAATTGCAAAGTAGCACACATTGAAGGGGTTGGTCACCTTAAACCTCCCAGCACCAGCCTCCCTTTGCCAAGTACAAGGCTGTGCTGTATGTGAAGCAGCTTCTTAGTCACTATAATTCCAGACCATGTAATACTATGTCTTAATAGACAAGCTCTCTCCAATTTGAAACCAGAGTCCCCAGTCATGGTTGGGGAATAGCTATGGCAAATTGCCACAATGTCATGAGCTGTGCCCAGCCTTTGGTACAGCCCAGGACCCAAAAATCCTCCTAGTCCCAAAACAAAGAAGCTGAAAGAAGTTTCACAGCTCTCTAAAAGATATCAGGCCATTCAGGTTAAGACAGCAAAGGCAACCTAAGACACATCTACTTGACCATTTCCTTCGCTGGTCAAAGCATTTCTTGTGAAGAACAAATATCCATTCTGTCTCAAAGCTGCTGATAGCTCTTGGAAACTGGAAACACCACAGGAACAGTCTGTGGGAGTTTGATTTTGGAAGGGAAAGTCAGAGCCAAAGAACAGTCAGGCTCCAGACTCTGTCCTGCTTTCTGTGCCAAGTGTTCCACAACTCCCTCTGGGTTCATCTGCTAAAACAATACTAGTCTTATTAAAGCTGTAGTGCCAGGGGATGATGATAGGGAGGAGCAGTCAAAAGTGGGCCAGCAATGAGAAGGCTTCCAGGCAGCTTGCTCTTGCCACCAAGAACTGCTTCCAACAACTTCACAGTGTGTTAAAAAGTGGTCAGTTTTCTTCCCTAAAAAGCTCTGAACCTGCGTGGTGGGAAGGTCTCAGTCATGCAGAGGCTTTGCCTGGCAGAGATGTGTGATACCTAAGCAGATTTCTTTCCTTCCCTTGGAGGTGTCTGCAAAAGGGTGGATTAATCCACTGGTATTCTGAGAGTCCCTAAAATACACCACAGAGTAATGTGAAGGAATTCACAGTGCAACAAATGAAGAATTACAGAACTAAAGCTGCCATAGAAACTAAAATTCACATGCAAGGTGGCATCAGTTGCATTGGTTTTAGTGCTGCAAACATCCACGGTGAACTGTCTGTACCCGCCTGTGGTTAAACTACTTTCACCACCAACTGGGTGAGGATGGGAAGGGCAGAGGATTTGAACTCTCTGCAAATATTTGGTCATCTCTGTTGTGGCAAGCACCCAGATGGAGCAAAACCAGAACCACAAGTCAAATGCAAGTACTGCTTGCTCCTCTTTGCTCACTGTTCTGCTCTCTGCTTATTGTGGCAATAGTACTGCTTTAGGCTGCTGCATGAACACTAGCACCAAGTGCAGCGAACCACTTACATTAATTGTGATATTACAAAATCTCAACTCTAAACATTAAGTAACTTTATGAAGTAATGAGCTATTACATATCCACAATGGTCTCCATCTGAAATCCCAAAGGGTTTGACTTCATGCATGTGTAGAAATCACTTCACTTGCTCCAAACTGCTGCCACCTCTGGGACAGAAGAGCAACTCCACCTGTGTTCAGAAAGGTTTAAGTCAGCGGGTAAGACTGTGTAATTTAGGTGAAGCTGCAGGTAAGGGCAAGGAGGACAGTTACCTATTGTATAATTTGTCTGGGGTTTAATACCTTACTCTTGTGAAGTATGATCCTGTAATGACTAGCAGCTCTGAGATTTAACCTATAGCAAAACAGGGAAAGCAGTACTCAAACACACTGTGCCAGGACACTTGGTGCCATCCTGTTTACTGAGTCACCAGCACTGCTTCCTGGCACAGCTGGGTTTTCCTTCTGGCCTCCCAGCTAAACACACCAGTAATACCAAGCATGCCTCTCCCCACCTAGTTTGTAAAAATTACAGAAAAGCCCAGCTTGAAGTGGAGTAACAAACCCCATCAATTACTAATTAACTAGCAGAAACAAGAATGGCTTATAAGAAAACTACTTTTAAGAGGCAGGAACCATGTGTCCAAAGAGAGAGTTTCCAAAGCAGAAAGAGCCTAATTATATACTATACCAGTCAGAGTCCTCAAATGGAAGGAGGGAGACTTTAGTACCAATCTTTTTTTTTCCCCAATGCTCCCCAAGATAAAATTCAGTAACTATCCTAACTATTTACTAGCATTGTAAAACATTTAAAGGGGGATCTAATCTTATTTAGGTGCCTGCTCTCAGGAGAGATAAATGGGTTTAACATTTAGCTTTCAGTTTGGCACCTAAGCTGCAGTAAGTGGCAGATCACACATACACTTATATGTAGAGATTCCTATAGGTTAACTCTAGGTGGCTCCCTTTACCTACTACATAGATATTTTGGACCATTTTCCAAAAGCTCAAGATCTCTGCCTGACTATCTAGGGGATACTCTCCATATTTGAATTTTCTATCATCTTGCTTGCCAATATCATAATTTTATGAGCTGCTACACTTTGTCTGGAATCACCTCAGAAAAACTCCAGCTATTGCAATGCTCCTGGTTTAGATTCATAGTAAAAATTCCAGTTTTCACCAACAGCAAATCTTGATCAACAGTGATCAACAAGAAACAACAGCCTCCACGAATCAAAGTAACTGAATTCTGAATAATTCTTCAATGACATTAATAAAATAAACAGTCAAAAACGATGGCACCACCACTACAAATTTGAGAAAATAAAATGTCTTGAATGAATGTGAATTAAGTTCTTTCTGAGTAGAGTTGTACCCACTGCTCTCAAACAGAATGTGCTATCACCAAAGAGTTAAAAAATAATAAATAATATTTATCAAAATTTAAAAAAACACAACAGGCTATTTGTTTATCACACTCTGTCTAGTTCAAGGGATTTTAGGGCCAGCTAAAGTTTCAGTAACTGTTCTAAATATATAAATAATTGATCTGTCTTTAAACTACCCTACACTGAACTTTGCTCTCCACTCATAACTGGCCACAAACATCCTCTAAATATTTCAGATAGATCAGTTACCTAGTGGAAAAGCCTACCAGAGTGCTAAAGACCATAGTACCAAGGAATATAGTTAACAGGAAATGAAATGCACAGTATGAAAGGCTGAATTCTAAAAGTATATAATTAGAACCTGGTATCAAAGGCTGAAAAAAAAAAAATCACTCTGTGGCTCTTTTTTTCCCTTTTTTTTTTCTCCCCCCCAAACACCTGTGCACATTTCTACAAATAAACAATCTAGGAGCAAATAATAACCAGAATGGTAAAAGAAGCCTTTAAATTGTTATTCATATTTAGCTATCATCTTATCTCATGATTTTTCACTATTACCAAGATCATAGACAGAATATTACTAGAACTGGTCAGATGGCCAAAATGTTTAAGGTGAGCAATTCACATAATTATTCAGTTCAGCCTGTTTGTATCTTGTGATAGACACAGAACACACACAAACACATGTATAATTAAAATAAAACCCCAAACAATTTCTACAAAATTTTAACAGCTAATGCATTCTGAAATAATTATACCGCTTGCAATGAAGCAATCAAATGGAAAGAAAATACTCTCCTTTTCTTAAACTACCTCTGGCAGTACTGATAATAAAAGGATTATTTGGACGGATGAGCATGAAGATCAATGAATTGAAGAAAAAACAAAGAGCTGTTCTGGACAAGGTTCTAGACTGTCAGTCCCACCAGGCATAGTCCAGCCTGGGAGGTGTTTCTGAGTTTTATCATAGCAGTGTAACAAACTGAGCAAGGCAGTTTCCCTCTTCTAGAATGATCCCAAATTATTCAGTTTTGTAGATGAGAAGTGACACCTTATTTCAGAGGGAGGAGGAAGTGTAGACAGCAAAGCCTCTAGAGCAAAGGCTGGTTTTGCTCAGGGTTTCTACAATGCTTAGTTGTCCATAGTGTAACTTTTTCCATGCACTGTGATATGAATACACAAGTATTCATAGAGCAATAGTGAGAGTTTCTGCAGTGAAACACCCGCCAACAAGCGAGAAGCCATACACACTGCTCTGACTTCCTTCTGCTATCTGCTGTGAAACACTGCATCACACAGGACAGAACATGACAGAATAGAGACACACCATGTATATGGATACATGGAATATTATTATAGGCATTTTATAAGCATTATTGGTACGTGATGCGGATCTTCAAGGGAGCTGTAGTAATAAGAAGAAACTGAGATTGATAGGGTATAATTAATGCAAGATGTTAGGCAAATAACCAAGCCTGGAAAAGTCTTCCCTCTTGGGAAAGCCACACTCTCATCTAAGCAAGGTACATTCACACATGATGAACTAAAGAAAAAATCCCACCTGCAACATTCTCCCATGAGACCATGACATAATTAATGGATAAAGAACGATGAAGCAAAAACCCAGTGTTGTGGGGATTATTCTGCATTGTCAGCAGAAGAGACTCATCTCACCTAGAAATTATTCATGTAAGTCTGAGTTAGTTACCCCTGGCCCTCTCTGTAGTCAGTGG